GCAAAATAAAGGTAAAGATGAGGCACTATTATGCGATTTTCGCTCATTGTAACGAGTATGGCTCTATGCGTTGGAAAGGGTCAAAATTCAAATGAAAAAAAAAAAAAAATTGGGTACTTTTTGGGGCAAAATTTTAAATTCAACGATGTAAATTATACAATTCTTTCTGATGTGTATAGAGGTCATTTGATCCCATTGATATAGTTTACTAGATCGGGCCATGGCCAAACTGGCCACTTGGTTCTTAGTGAAAGGTCCACACTACCCATTAATGTCCCCCTAATTTCTCCTATAGGATAATTCCATTTGCTCGGCAAATGGCCAATTGGACTTTTTTATATAGCTTTAAAGTCGAATCTTTCTCCCATTTTGTATCGTATTATTAAAGTAGACCGATATCTTCTATTGATATACCAAGTGATGTGTATAATATATAAGAACGAAAGTTAGTGCGGAAATACAAAAGAGCAACAAATAATTTGAATTTTCTGTAAATTTACTTGTTAGTTGCCAAAAGCTAGTATTGAAAAACAATCACAATGGGAGAAGTTTGCTAAATTGGATATATCTTTGGACAGAGATGTGGTTGCCTCAATCTTTAGTGAAACTTTATTTATGTATCAAGAAAGAATAAATCAAGTGATTTAGTGATGGTATTTAACTATTTATACTTCTATTTTTGTATGACATATTGTAGATTTGTCAATTTTCGTAATCAACGTATATAAATAAACTTGAGTGTATGAAAATGTGGATTTACCTTATCCGTTGGATAGAGTTATAATTTTAGTTCATGGGTGACCACTGTAAATATTAAATGACAAGTGTACTCAACGATCAACAAGTTTTTGAGTTAAGTCTTGGTTTTTGTTTTGGAACGCCCTTATAAAAAAAAATAATAATAACAAGTTTATTGTCACTAAACAATTTATAAGATCGTAAAGTGTCGCCACAATTTCTGTTGACGACGCTAATCAAACTCATACAAATATGAATATTTATGAATGCAACATGCCAAAAACAATTTCAAAACCTAACATGTAATCGGTCTCTAGTCGTGGAGTCTCCACCCGTTTCACACTTTAATAAAAAGAAATTAAATGAGCAACGCTTAAGTTTCAAAAAAAAAAAAAAAAGCAACGCTTACTATACTTTTATTCTATCAATTAATTTACTTGTTTCATCTATTTTGATGGATAAGATCGAAAGTATCATACTACTTTTTAGTAAATAAAAAAATACATTTACATTTTTGAAACAACATTTTCGCGAAACACACATAATATAAAGATGAAGAAAATATGAAATAAATAAATATTTACAACAAGCATTTAAAACATCTCCATCCATAAGAGATTTTAAAAATTTTC